CATGCCGGCTCTAGAGTGCCGCGTTAAGGTGCTACACATGCTTGCGTGGCATGCAACTTTATAATTCTGAGTGTTGAGTTAACCTACAAATACATAGTCACTGCATTTTTCAGTAAGCATTCTAAGACGTTACCCTGCATGAGGAGGACTATATAAACACAAGCTGGTGTAAAATCCTGTGAAGCTTTTTGAGATATCTCTACAATGTAATACGTGCTATATCAAATGCAGAGATTATTATCAAAATGCAAAATACTGCAGAGGCTTGAAATCTGAAACAAAAAGAGAAGTTGCAGGGAACACTCAGCAAGTCAGGCAGTATCTATGGAGAAAGGAAAGTGAGTCAACGTTTCGGGTTCACGACCCTTCATCAGAACTGAGACATGTTGGGAGAGAGAGGCTTTTAAGGGTTAACAGGGAGGGGGGAGGCAGGGCAAGGAAGACAAAGGAGAAAATGGGGTACAGGACTGGGGCTGATGAGTTAAAGAGATGTTAATGATGCAAAACAAAGGGGCGGATTGCAAAAAAGTAGGGGAATAGAGGTGTTAATACTGCAAAACAAAGGGGGAACAAATTGCAACAAAATAGGAAGACCAAAGAGAGAAAAGGTGTATCTGGAACTAAGATGATGTGGCAATGGTCACAGAAGAGGGGGAGGGGGAAGGTGGGCTGATATGGTCTGAAATTGTTGAAATCAATATTGAGGCCAGAGGGCTGTTAGGGAACTTACAGAACATCAGGGGACTGGGGGTTGCAGCTGGAGATGGAAAAGTAGAGTTGAGTGTCATCCACATACATGTGGAAGTTAATCCCGCATCTGCAGATGACATCACTGAGGGGGAGCATATAGATGAGGAAGAGAAGGGGGCCAAGGATGGAGCCCTGGGCTAAACCGCAGGTGACCAGGTGGAAACGAGAAGAAAAACCATAGGCACAAATGTAGTGCTAGTGGTTTGTAAGGTAGGACTCCGACCAGGCAAGTGCGGTCCCACTGAGGTGGATGATGGAGGACAGGCGGTGGAGGAGGATGGTGTGATCAACCATGTTGAACGCAGTGGAGAGGTCCAGGATGATGAGGAGGCAGAGGGAGCCCTGGTCACAGATAGAAAGGATATTGTTTTGAGGTCCTCTGAACTCCTTTCCCTCTGGCCTTCAACCCTCACTGATCCCTCTTCTGCTCTCACCCTCCTCCACAACACCCTCTCCTCCACACTCGACACTCTTGCCCCCATCACCTCCCGTACTGTCTCTTATTCTCGCTCCTCCCCCTGGTTCACCACCCACCTCCGCTCACTGAAGAGCCAGGTGCGGGCCGCTGAACGCACCTGCCTCAAATCTGGCCTAACGGTCCACCGGCAAATCTGGCTGGACCTCCCCAAAACCTACCGCTCCACTCTAGCCTCGGCCAAGTCGTCCTTCTACTCCAGGATAATCCTGGAGGCGAAGAACAACCCCAGGCTTCTGTTCTCTACCACATCCCAACTCCTCCGTCCCTCCCGCCACCACACGCAGGTCATCTCCTCCAACCTTCACTGCGAGGAGATGCTGGATTTCCTTGAATCCAAAATCAAGGGAATCCGCTCCGCGGTCACTGCCCCTCCAACTTCCACCCACCCCCTAACCCTTCCCTCCCACACTCCGACTCCTACCCATCCTCCCCTTCGAACCCGTTTCCCCACCCTGTCACCAAACTCATCCTTGAAACCCACCACCTGCTCCCTGGACCCCATCCCCACTCCACTCCTTATCTCCCAGCTCCACCTCCTTGCCCCACTTCTCACAGACACCATTAACCTGTCCCTCTCCCTGGCTCTGTTCCCATTCCCCTCAAAACTGCCACCATCACTCCCATACTGAAAAAACCCTCCCTTGATGCGTCGCAGCTATCAAGCTACCGCCCATCTCCAACCTCCCCTTCCTGTCCAAGGTTCTCGAAAGAGTCGTCGCCTCCCAGTTGCGCTCTATCCTCTCCACCCACTCACTTTTTGAACCCCTTCAGTCGGGTTTCCGTGCTGCCCATAGCACGGAAACTGCCCTGGTCAAGGTCACTAATGACATCTTGACCATCTGTGACCAGGGCTCCGTCTGCCTCCTCGTCCTCCTCGACCAATCGCAGCATTCGATACGGTCGACCACTCTATCCTCCTCGACCGCTTGTCCTCCCACCTCAACCTTCAAGGCCCTGTCCTTGAGTGGTTTAGGTCCTACCTCTCCCACCGTCTTCATTTTGTCTCTGCAAACCGCTTTTCCTCCAGCCTCCGCACTGTCTCGTGCGGTGTCCCTCAGGGCTCTGTCCTCGGTCCCCTCCTCTTCACCCTCTATATGCTCCCCCTCGGTGACATCATCCGCAGACATGGAGTTAACTTCCACATGTATGCGGATGACACCCAACTCTACCTTTCCTCTTCAACCCTCAACTCCACGACCACCGATGTCCTGACAGCCTGCCTGTCCGACATCGAGTCCTGGACGAGAGACAACTTTCTTCAGCTCAACGTGCGCAAAACTGAGGCCCTCCTGATTGGCTCACGTCAGCGCCTCCGCACCTCAGGCGCTGACAGCATCAGCATCCAAAGCTGCACTATCCACCTTTCAGAGCCAGTCAGGAACCTCGGCGTTCTGTTCGACCCTGAGTTGTCCTTTCTTCCCCACATCCGCGCCACAACTGGCACCGCCTTCCATCACCTCCGGAACATCGCCAGACTACGGCACTACCTTACCCCTCACGCTGCTGAAACACTGGTCCACACCTTTATCACCTCAAGGCTGGACTACAGGAGCTCTCTCCTCACCGGCCTTCCCGGCACCTCCCTCCACAAGCTGCAGGTCATTCAAGACTCTGCAGCTCGTGTACTGTCCCGCACCAGGCTTCACGACCACATCACTCCCACCCTCGCTCGCCTCCACTGGCTCTCCATCCCCCAGAAGATACTATACAAGTGCCTTGCACCTTCCTACCTCTCCGACCTACTATAACCCTACTTACCTGCCCGTACCCTCTGTTCCTCTGGCTCCGGTTTGCTCCACATCCCCCGCCCTAACCACCCTACCATCGGTGGCCGGGCTTTCAGCCTCTCAGCCCCTAGGCTCTGGAACTCCATCCCCCAGTGCCTTCGCTTTGCTTCCTCCCTTTCCTCCTTCAAGGCCGGTCTCAAGACCTTTCTCTTCAACCGTGCCTTCAGCTCCCCTCTCGACTCTCTACCCCTCCTCGCTCCCTCCCTTCCCTCCCCTCACCCTGACCATTTCCCCCCTGCTCGGGTCCCGAGCCAACTGTCCAGCGCCTTGGGACGTCCTCCCGACGTGAAAGGCGCTCTATAAATGCAATCATGTTGTTGTTGTTGTTGTTTGTGACTTTCACAAGCGCTGTCTCTATATTGTGGGCAGGGTGGAAACCGGACTGAAGGGTTTGAATAGAGTTTGTAGGGAGAGGTGTGTGCGAAGTTGGTTGGCAACAACACATTCCAGAGCTTTGGCAAGGAAGGGCAGGTTTGAGATAGGGCAGTAGTGGCCAAGGTTGGCGGGATTGAGGGTAAGTTTTTTAAGAGTCAAAATTAGGGTTGCAGACCACAGGAACGCAGGTCAACATTAGATGGTAAATCATTGAACCTCATTGACAAACAACAACTTGGGACTTATATAGCGCCCTCCACTCAGGGTAGCATCTCCAAGTGCTTAACAGTGGTGGAGCCTAACTCCGAGCCGAGGGTGGGGGGGTTGGTGTTGGCCATAAGCAGTCGAAGAGGAAGGTCTTCAGGCGGGACTTGAAAAAGGGGAGAGAGGGAGCAAGGTGGAGAGACTGAGAGAGTGTTCCAGAGTTTCGGGGTGTAGTGCCTGAAAGCACGATCTCCAATGATGGGACGGAGAGTGCGAGGGACAAGTAGGAGGCCGATGTCAATCGAGCGGAGGCACTGGGTGGTGGATTGGGAAATGAGGAGGTCGGAGAAGTAGGAAGGTGCCAGAGAGTGAAGGGATTTGAACACGAGTGTGGGGATCTTGAAGTCAATCCATTCGGTGATGGGGAGCTAGTGAAACCTGGCCAGAACTGGTGAGATGTGGGTTTGGAGTTTGGTCTGGGTAAGTATGTGGGCGGCAATCTGTGGTCTGTGTTCAATTTCTGTTCTCACCTGCAGTAATAATTACGACCAAATCTTGCCCAGTGTTCCTTCATTAACTCTTCCACACTCTGCTTTCTTGCCACAAGGATAGAGAGCCATGCAAGGACAGCCCAGAGACCATCTTTCTCTCGAATATGATCTGATCCTGAAACAAACCAAAAACATTATTGGGTGATACCAACAGACTGGCTCCTTTTAAGTTGCTCTCAGTTTCACCAACAACTTGCCCTTGTATAGCTCTTTTTACATTGGTTGAATGCTCAGAACACTTCAGAGGACTTGTGAAGGATCAGCAGGCAGAAAAGGCAAGAGAGGGAGTTTTGACCAAAGGGACAGACAGATCTGCAGCATATACAACCCACACATTCTCCATGGATCTGATAGAACTTGCCAGGTGGAAGCTGAATGAGACCTAGAGGTATTAGCTGGCTCAGTGCTCACCACCACCACCACCAACAACAACAAGATTACAGTTATAGAGCACCATTCACGTCGGGAGGACGTCCTAAGGCACTGGACAGTCAAGAGTCAGGACAAGTCAAAACAACGTGAGGCAGCTATAAACAATGAAAATCTGGGCTATATTGAGTTCAGATCCCCAGATGTCATACTCAAACTCTTGTCAGGCAGTATAGAGCTCTAGTCACCAAGACATAAAGAGGCAGTGCAGAGGAGAACCCAGTGTTAGAAGAATGAGCAATGAGCAACAATTAGACAAACTAGGCCACTTCAACCTTGAAAATAGATGTCTCAGAGGGGACGTTTTAGAGATCTGTACAATTTTAAATGGAACTGAGAAAGTAAATCCAGAAAAATACTTTTGGGCAGCAGAACAAGTGGAAGCATTCAGGGTTGTAAAGGTAGTTTCAAGACAGGCGTCAGGAAGTATTTCTTTACCCAGAGGGTAGTTAACAACTGGGGCGAGTTATCAAGAATATTAAGGATAGCCCATTGGGCTCATTTAAGAAGCAGCTCAATGCTGTGATGGTAGGATGGTAGGGTGGCTATAGGGTGGTAGGGTGGGTATACTGGAACGATGAAATCAAATGGACTAAAAAGGCCTGCTTCGCTAGTCCTGGAAGTGTACAGCATTGCCAGAGATGCCGTCCTTCAGATGAAATGTTAAACTAAGGTCCCACCTTCCTGTTCAGGTGGACATTAAAGATGCAATGGCACTACTGGAAAAGAGAATGACGTTTCTCCTGGGGCCAACAAATACTCAGATAAACTTTTTTGCTGTTTTCAAATTGACTGCCACATTCGTCTACTAAATACTTATGAAGCACTTTTTGATGTTCCAGATGCTATATCAAATGCAAGGCTTAGTTTTATTAATCATTATTATTTATGGGTGTGTGTAGCCTGGTTCTGGAGAGAATTCAGGCTTTCAAGAATAAAATTGAATTGCTGCTGATAGATCATTACATTTTGGTGAAGTTGAGTGGTTGTTAGTGGTGGTCAAACCAGGCTGAGAGGCCCTGTTCGAGCACCACAAACGAGAGCACAACGGGATGTCACAGTGGAGGCCATTAACAACTTTACTAAATGCAATCCGATGCTAGGGAACAGCGATGGAAATACATTCCTTATAGATCAGTTCAGAATGTTTCCTGATGCCTGAGGCTTCACAAAGTCAATTAAACACACAAGCGAAAGGAAAGTGTGAAATTAAAAGTTTATGTTTGCCACGACAAAGTGAGGCCTTTTGGAGGTCAATTCAAAGTGTGGAAGGTTTGAATTTGCAACAAGGTCCAAATTCCAAATTAGGTCCTGTTCCAACTGTACATTTTCACATCTACTTTTCCCAGAATCATGCAGTTACCCGCAGACTGAGTGGCTGAAGGATTTTAACTGGCAATCGCTTGGTAACACGTCTATTCTTGGCAACATAAAGACTATTTATTGAAATAGAATTACACAGACTGCTACAGCATGAAAACAAGCCATTCGGGACAAGTAGTCTGTGTCTGTCTTTAAACCCACATTCACTACTGCCCACAGGCAACAATGAAAATAATCTTGGGGGCAGGGGAGAGAGCTGAGTAAAGAGGTGAGCTGTAGGTAGATTTCGGGGATTCAACCCTCTCTAGCATTAGTCACTCGCTGCTTAAGTCCTCTCATGCACGCAGTTGCAGAATGATTATCAACAGACATTTGTGGGAGGGAGGGAGGGAGGGAGGGAGAAAGAACAACAAATTACATTTATAATAATCCTTGCATTTGATCTAACGCCTTCAAGACATCTCAAAGTGCTTCACAGAATATACTGTAAAGTGAATTGACTGTATATATTGTGGGCGAAATGTGCAGCCAATTGCACACAGCAGTGTCCCGCAAACAGTCGTGCATTGAGTGACCAATTTATTATTATTTTTTTGAAGGACTTATTACTCCCGGAAAAATGATCGGCCAATTGACTTAACAACCAGGTTCCTACTTACTGCTAGGTAAATAGAGGCGTGTGGAGTAAAAAAACTTGCCCATCGTTTTGCCCTGCCGGGAATCGAACCCAGGTCTCTCACTTGCAAGGCAAGTGCTCTAATCAATAAGCTACAGGACTTCACTTATTTATAAATTACATTCATATAAGCTCCTTTCATGCCAGAAGGGCGTCCCAAAGTGCTGAAATGCTGAAAGGAAAGGAAGGAAGAGGTTGCAGGATGCTCTCCTAATCATCCTAGTTATTTTCTGTCCAGCAAAACAATTTATTTTCTTTGATTAAAATCAAATTGTTTTCTGGTTTAGTGATAAATTGTTTTTTTTCATAATCTATACTTCAAATTCTACCCTGGTCATGGCCTATTCACAATAATTGCTGTAAAACACTCAGGGACCTTATAGCAACAAACTGAACTGATCTGAACTGCTGGGATCCTGGGATCTGTCCAACATTCTGTCTAATTGAGATTGAATAATTTGCAGTCAAACTAAGAATCATTAGGCATAAACCCAGAAGAGTTGGATGACACCATATTTCTGCCAGTAACTCTGACAAATGATAGCGAATGTACATGCATGTTTAATACTGGCGTGGAAAAGACCAAAAAAATGTTGAAGAGAAACTATTTATTTCAACTTGAGTGTGAGGTTTATTGAATTCCACAGTAGCATGCTTAGAGGAAACAACAAAACAACAACAGGCATCGGTTACTCTCGATCTGTGGGCAAATCTGACAACATGTTGGCACCTTCGAGCATGTGTGAAACCAGAGTTGGCAGAGTGCTCACCTCTTGGCAGTACAGCAATAATAATTATTGAAAATTATAACAATAATAATTCTTGCATTTGATATAGAGCCTTTCACATTGAGAGGAAGTCTCAAAACATTTCCTGGGATTTTACTGTAAAGTGCAGGGATTTTGTGTGAAGTGCTCATGGATGACTGCATCGTCCATTTCATTTCTAATTCATCTAATTTTGTAAAGCGCTTCAAGATGTTTCTTAAAATTTTTACAATAATTATCCTTGCATTTGATACAGTGGCTTCAGCAGAAACCCTGTGCTTCTGAAAGAGAAATGTAGAATGTGACTGGATCTTGTGGGAACAGAGCTGCAGTGCACTAGGAGTGAAGTGGAGTAAAATCAAATCAGTTCACTTTCATCTTGCAAAGGGACCTGATGAAATCTATTCAAAACCCTCCCCTCACTGCTGCTTATCACCTCGGTAATGCACTTAGACACACTCATCCTACCTGTAAAGCACAAAATCAGTACAACTTGTTTAAATCGATCTTAGGTTCAAAGTTTTACAAAAATAAACAGTGACAGAAGTATCACAGAATCATAGAATTTGCAGCACAGAAGGTATCTAATAATAATAATCCTTGCATTTGATTTATCATGCCATTAAGACATCTCAAAGCACTTCGCAGAATATATTGTAAAGTTTAGTGACTGTGTATTTTGAGGGCGAAACGCTGATGAGTCCATTGTGTGACTACTTTACAAGCTCCCTACCAGAGCTATACATTGCAATCCCAAATTGGAAACAAAGGCTCAATCTAACAGGGCAAGGCTTCCTCAGCCAATATTGTTAACCATGTACAATCTTAATACAGCAACATCTTGTATTTATATAACGGCTTCCTCATGAAAGAAACATTTCGAAGTGTTTTACAAAATGAGATCAATCAGAAATGAAGTGAATATTACAGAGCAGGACAAACGTTTCTTCGGGAGTTTTTGTACAGATAAAGTCTAAAAATTATTACTGTAATGTTCAGTGGATTAACAATACGCAATGTTGCATTGTTCTGCCTCCGCTTCTCCTGCTCTGTTTTCAAAAGCCATGTTATAACGTGCTTCATTACAATGTTGATTTGTTTATAATGCATTCATTGCACATGCAGGCAGCCACCTGGTAGTTCTTGTGCTAAAAATGTCACCTCCAACATCCCTTCCTGCTTGCTGGGCATAACACAGTGACATCAGCAATGACCTGAATTTTATGAATCCAATGACTTCGCCTTCGGCCATCTCCCCTACACACACACACACACTCACACCCTATTTCTGTCTCAACTTGTCCTCCCGCCCTGTCTTTGTAAAGCGATTTGAGAAGTTCACCCTACATGGAAGATACTATACAAGTGCAAATTATTGCTGTTGTGGTCCTTGTTGCCAGTCCTCATGGATTGCTTTCTCCTCAAACACATTGCCCAGAATAATCTTACTCATTATCATGTGAAGAGGCATTACTCTCCCATGGACGTCAATGACATTTGCCCTCACACTGATGCCTTGAGCCCTCACAGTGTCAAACTGTTCTACTTTTCACGACTGTAAACAGATACACGACATCTGCTTTAATTCGATGGCACATGATCTGGGAGTGGGTCTATGGCTAGCCACATGACTACAATCAGGCTACTGTGTGCTGTAATCTGTTTTGGATACAATCATTTATAGACAACATAAATAGCTTTCATTCCCTCTGCGTGGCTACCCAGAAAGAGAACTTATAAACACTGGATCTTGTACCGCACACTTACTCTCAGTTACGTGCATAGAAAATTTTCCCCAATTAGCACAGCTGCAAGTGGGACATTACTGACTTGATCAATGCTTTATATGGACTGGAAATTACGTCCATGTGTGACCTGTAGTTTGTATGAACTTAAAAGTGTGAAGTACTTACAGTTAAC